ATACTTTAGTCCATATCCATTGATCAACTTTCATCATATTTCTATTCCCATTCATTCATTAAATAATCCATCCATTTATTCATCAAACATTTATTGAACACCAAGTACAATTTATTAGGTAACGTAATAATTCCTGAAAATAAACACAGAAATTGAAGACTGTCTATACTCAATGAGTACTCACTACAGTTTTCAAGTAATTGTAATACAATATATCAATCACTCTGTTATATTTTAATTAATTGAATTATTTGTGTAAATTTAAGGGGTACAAGTGTAATTTGTTAAATAGATATATTGTATGGTGGTGAAGTCTGGGCTTTTAGTATAACCATCTGAGAGATATTTTTTAAATTCAATGTAATCACAGATAAGAGATTTTTCAATGTAATCTTCAAAAGCCTGGAGAAGATGATAAAGTTTTCACAGAGACAGTGATAACTGATTTAACTATTTAAGGAGTTGGGAGCATCCCTGTTGTCTTCTAGCATCTATTGAAAAAGAAAAAAATACATCATACATGCATAGTGGTGAAGAATAAGGTTTGTTCAGACTATGAGAGATACTTATCTATCAGGATATATAACTGAGGAGCTGTGGAAGTTAAACTGCACTAATCAGATTGGTTATTGCAGTGAGTGTTCAGCCAATAGCATATATATAAAACAGCTGTGGTGGTGGTGAATGTGTATTATACCATTACTACTACTATTACCACTACTGCTGGATAATAATTATAGCAATGATAATAGCTATAAACATCACTTTAATAGATACCTCCTTGTTATATATTGTACTCCTTTATATTATTATTGATAGCAATAAAATTGTTGGTTTTATATATTAATAAAATATGATACTTCTAGATTTATAATGGAATTATATTCCAATAAACCCACAGTTAATTGAAAATATCACTAATTCAAACCATGGTCAACTGAGAACCTCAAGAATGCCCTAGAGCAGCTAAGTAAGTGACCCAAAATAGAAGCCTTAAATCCTTCAAGTCATGACCACCACATCCTACCACATCTTTCCTGAGAAAGATATCCAATGGTAAGAAATATTTCCCTAGGACTGAGGGCAGAAGAAAAGAAGAATTAAAAATTGGTACAATTTTTCTCTTTTCCCTTTTGATCCATAATGTCTAAATTAATAGGTCTATTTTCCTCTTTAGATTTTTATACATAAAGAATGGACAATTTAGTCAAGACATCTAAATACATTGGGGAAATGCATAATTGATTGTCTTAAAATAATTAAAATGGTCTTGAATCTTTTCTGCAATAGCATATACGAGCTAATTAATATTTCTGTCTCAGTTTCCTCATGTGAGAAAAGGTAATGAAATTGTATATACTTCATGGAGTCACTGTGAAGATTAAATGCTATAAACAAAATTTTTTTTTTGGAAAAAGGCCAACTAGTTAATATTTTCTGCTATGTGAGCTGTATAGCCTCAGCCACGGTGACTCAATGCTGCTGTTGTAGCATGAAAGCAGCTACAGAAAACATGCAAAGAAATGAAGGTGGCTATGTTTTACTTACAGGAACAAATGACAGAGCAGATGTATACTGTAAGCCATAGTTTGCCGATCCCTGCTATTGTGCATGAAAAATGATTACTATAGGGTTTCAAACATGGTTCAACACCATGTCATATTCATGTCATTACTACTGTTGGATCTTAACTTTGTAAATGTCTTTGGTTTCAATAATAATAGTTAGGAATAATTTAAAGTTCATTCTTTCTTCAACAAATATTTAAAGAGCACCTCTCTTATTTCAGTCACTTGCTAGGCTATTTACATAATACTGTATGTCCTCTGGAGTGGTATATTGAGTGTAGTTCATAAAAGTGGGCCTCCCAGATGAGAGAGGAGAGTTGAGAAGAATAGGAAATAAATCTGAAGGGACAAAGGGATGACAATGGCAGACATACATTATTGATTAAAATTAAGATTAATATTTGTTTTAACATTTTATTTGAATAATAGGATGCTCATTTTCTAAAGCAGAAACTGAGGCCAAAAGAAGTTAAGTGCTGTACAGAAAGTCACACAACTAGCAAGTGAAAAAACTATTATTTAAACCAAGAGCTATCAGAAAAGAGTGCATATTCTTTTCCTTCTGCCATTACTCTAAGATCTCAGAAATGAACTCAAGAATCTCAGTACGTCATATAATTCTGACTATGAGGATTAAACTAGAGAAATCACTAGAATTATCTGAGAACCACTGAGGAAGCAGAAAAAGATAGAACCAGTTAACTAAATGTCTCAGAATGTCTGAGTCTGTACGTCCTCTTCCTAAAATGCTCCCAAATTACTTGAAATGCCAGAATTTTATTTTTTAGTTAATTTTCTAAAATTTTCAACAACCTGGGAAACTAAGTATAAAAATAGTTTTTAAATGTACAAATAGTATGATAAAGTTTAAAATACTTTTTTAAAACATGGATGAGAAAAACAATTGAAGGAGGGAGGGAATGAAGCAGCCAGATTACAAAACAAACAGAGAACATCCAAGCAGACAGTTTCTCTGAGGGGATCTTCCAAATCTGGCTTAGAACCTGAGACTCAATTGACCTCAAGAGCGTCAAAAACCAGGAGATAAAGCTTGGAGCTACCGTAACTACAAGCATATAAATAAAGTCTATAACTTCAAAATTAGTAAAGGTAAAAAAAAAAAAAAAAAATTAAGGTAAATAAAATCAAAACACGATTATAATAGAAGAAATTAAGAAAGTAACAAAAAAGAAAAAAAATGTAATATAGACCACACAGAACAAATAAACACAAATTTAGACAATGGTACATACTCTTTTCATGTACTCATGGAACATTTATTGAACTGGCCACAATCAGGACATTAAAATACAATGAAAGACTTTAAAAGTTAATAATAACAATATGACTAAAAAATACTCAATGCATTTATAAAGATATATTTTTTAAACCTCACAATTCTAAGTAATCTATGGGTTAAATAAGAGATTATAGTTTAAATTAGAAAATACAGAGAAAAAATCTAATGAAATTATACCTAATAAAACCTGAGATACAGCAATAGTGAAGTTTAGAAGTAAAAGTATGTACATTGTAATTGGACTTAAAAATACATACATTCAATCTATCAATACATCTGGGTCTCTTTTTCCCAAAAAAAAAAAATTCTAAACTTTTATTAGAGAAGTATAAGGCTGACTGCCTAATTACCAGTGTTTTGGGGGCAAAAAGGAAAAGGCAGGTAGGAATTTGTTCACTCTGTATTTGACTTTCACTTAACTCCATGTTTTGAGTTGGGTATCCACACCCCTACCCCACAACCAGCCAATCACATACACACATGCATCTGTTTTTACTGTCCACATTCTGGTCTTTTATCTAGGTTCATTTATAATACACACATAAATTCATCCATATATGTCTCTTGACGTGTATGTCAATGTGTATTGCTAGGCCTATAAAAGAATTTCTGGATCGTAGAACATTGTCATATTCACACTTTAGTAGGTAATGCCAACTTATTTTCCCAAGTAGTTAGACAAATTTATACTTCAACTGGCACTATGTGAACGTTACTAGCAATTTGCATCTTCACCACTACTTAGTAGCAACAGACAATACAGGCACATACACACACATTTAATTTTTGCCAATTGGAAGGATGTGAGATTGAATTTCATTGTAGTTTCCATTAGCATTTCTCCAAATTCTAATAGCGTTGTGAATATTTTCATATGTTTACTGACCTTTTGTTTTTGCTCTTCTATTAAATATTTATTGTAGTCTTCTTTTTGGTTTATTATTTATTGATTCATAAGGGTTCTTTATACATTTGAGATGCTAGTCTTTTATCTGCTACATGTTTTGCAATATTTTTTTCCTAGCTGTGGCTTACCTTTCTTCTTATGAAATGAGTATCTTTTGATAAACAGATGTTCATAAATTTAATTTCATTGATTTTGCCAATTTGCATCCCTTAATGATTTATGACTTTTAATCATACATAAAAAACCACGTTGTGCTTTAAGATCATTGAAGCTAGTCTATATTTTCTTTAAATGTTTCATAATTTTATGGTGTTAATGTCTAGATGCAAGACCTTAATCTATCCAGAAATTATGATTTTGTACAAGTCAACCATATCATATTTCAGGTTTCTATTTGTGAGAAACTGAGTTCTCTATTCTTTTCCTTCTGTGGATTTGTTTCTCTCTGTGCCAATATCACACTATTGTTTATATATTTATATTGTCTCAATATCTTATAAAGCAAATCCTCTGTTGCATTTTTCTTCAGTCTGATTTGGCTATTCTTAAGTTGTCCTTTTTTTTAAAAAAAAAAAAAAAAAAAGGTTTCTGCTTGTTCACATGAAGAAATGTGCAGAAATCCTAAGTGTAGAACTGTATGCAAAATAAATATGCTAGTATAACCGGCACCCAAATCAAGAAACAGAACACTCCTAGCATCCCAGAATTCCCAGTCATCATGCCAATATGCAACTGCTTTCCTGGCTTTTTTTGCTTCCGTTTACTTTTGCCTGTTTTTAAACTTTAGATACTTTTACTTCTAAGCTCTACTATTGCTGTATCTCAGGTTTTATGAGGTAGAATTTCGTTACATTTTGTTCGCCGTATTTTCAGAGTTCTCTTTTAAAATAGAAATGTAAGCAAGCCACTGCTTTTTCAAACTCCCTTGATGGGCTCTCACTTTACCTAAAGTAAAACCCAAAGGATTTTACAGAAGTCTACATGGGCCCTTAATATGCCTGGGCCCTGTCAGCCTCTCCTATGTCACCTTCTGCCATCACTGCTTTTGCTCTCTTTGCTTCCTTGGTGTTTCTCAAACACACCATTCAGACTTCACCCTGGAGATGAGGATCTTGCTATTCCTACTGCCCAAGAATGCTCTTCCATTATGTCCCCACGCAGCTTGTGGCTTCGTTTTATTGTGCTCTTTGCTCTCACTTTACCTCCTCTGGGAAGTCTTCCCTACCTGCATGTAGTTCATAGTTGGCATCCATTTTCACCTGCTGTCTCTCTTATTCATTCCGCATTATCTAAAAAATTAAAACAGAAGTTGAATAGCCATGGTGAGACAAACTTTGTTTAGGCATTGAGTATATAACATTTGCAATCAGACCTAAATGTGAAGGACATGTCAGATGTCAGTTCTGGGATTCAATAGTGACAACAGGAAAACTCCTCCTATAGGTTTATATCTAATGGGAAAAGCAACGTAAAAGAGACACACACAAGAGAAAAAAGGGCATGAGAATATGTACAAAGCAAAGTCACCAGAATGTCTCTGCTGTGGCTTGAATCACATTATGCCTGTAACACTTGACCAGTCAGTGATTTAGCGAAGTTCATCCTTACTCCCACAACCCATAAAATGTGTTTGATTTGGTGGCTATCATTGTTGTTTTAATTCTAAACCTGACAAGTAAGATCCCATTTCACTTTTCACAATTGCCAAATTGCTCTCCTAAGATATCTTTTGCAACTATTAAATTAAGCAGTCTTCCATTAGTAAAACTGATTCTCAAGCATAACTACTCAACAGGGAAGAGAATAGGAAATAAGAAGAAACTTAGCATCATTTTCATTTCCAAGGGCAGGTGATCAAAAGTCAATACGACTGAGTTTTTTTCCCTGCAAACCCTTAACAAAAAATTAAAAAGGCAAAACAACTTAAGGTTAAATTAAATGCTTCTCCTTTTTGCCTTTTAGAAGTATATCTTGCATCTACCAGAAATAAAACCTCATAACTAAATAATATAATTTAACAAATATGTTTATTTATTTTGTAGAGCAAAAACATATATGAACTATCTAAAAATAAATTCTAAAATAAAGCAAAAAGTAAAAATTGAAAAATCAAAGAAGTGTTATCATAGACATACAGTAAAATCAACATAAATTTCATCTGCTATTGAAAAGAAATATAAAAGGATTCATGATTTTTCTCATAATCTCTTTTAAAAATATTTATATTTTTGTCTAATCTTTCCTAAGCATGTACAATTCAATTACTCCATCACATGTAGATATAATTATTAAGCAGCTTTAAAATTAATGCTTACATTTTGAGGTTTCTATTTTCCTCAAAATCTGCGTTCATTTTTGGTATTTCTTAACAAATGAATTTGAGGGTGTGTAAGTCTAACAACACTGAGAGAGGTGTGATATGGTTTGGATTTGTGTCCCTATGCAAATCTCATGTGGAATTGGAGGAGGGGCCTGGTGGGAGGTGATTAGATGATGGGGGCATATTTCCTCTTTCCTGTTCTCGTGATTGTGAGTTCTCACGAGATTTGATTGTTTAAAAGTATGTGGCATGTGCTCCTTCACTCTCTGTCTCCTGCTGCCATGTGAACAAGGTGACTACTTCCCTTTCGCCTTTTGCCATGATTGTAAGTTTCCTGAGGCCTTCCAGTCATGTTTGCTGTTAAGCCTGCAGAACAGTGAGTCATCAATTAAATCTCTTTTCTTCATAAATTACCCAGTCTCAGATAGTTCTTTATAGCAGTGTGAAAATGGACTAATACAAGATGGTTCTCTTATAATGCACAGAAACCAACAGAGAGTCAAGGAAAATGAAGAAACAAGGGGATATGTTCCAAATAAAAGAAGAAAATAAATATCCACAAGCCAGCTGTAATGAAATCTAGATAACAAGCAAAAGTGGGGTTTTTTGGTTTTGTTTGTTTGTTTGAGTTTTATGTAACTTATTTAAATTTGGTTAATCAGGTTAGCTCTTGCTTTTTTTAGTAAAATATTTTATCATATACAAAAATTGTGACTTATACAATTATTTGACAGAGACAAATTTAGCCTGAGAAGCGTATATATATATTCATGTCTCCAAAGCAGTCTTCCACATTAACATGCAAACCAGACAATGCCACATTTCTACTCACTATTCCTCCTTCTAGATTTGTGCAAAGAGCTTGTTCTCCTAAGAACCATGGTATACAGAGATGTCATTAGGAACTAGAGCCACTTAGCATTTCTATGTGAATGAAACACCAAACCCTCCAAGGTGTTATTCTCAGTCTTCTAAGGAAGGGTGAATGTTAAAGAAGATAAACGATGGTATATAGACAGTAAAATTGTGTCCATTGTCTTCTACATTTAGGATATGTGAAAAAGTTCCAGCAATTTTTCAGCTTCCTAGACTCAACTTCTCATATGTGTCCACTCAGAGATAAACATATGGGTGTCCTGATGATGAAGTATGGAGTGGAACAAAAACCAAAGATGTTAATTGCCTAAGTAGATTTTGATTATTCTTTCTGTTCAAGAGCAAGCACTTCATTTCATTACACTTCAGGCTAAGTGCAATGCTTTAAAAGCTTTTGCTTTTCACTAAGTGACAGATATTAGAAAAGAGAGTGTGCATTTAGTTGTATCATTATATTCTCTCTGTTGTATATCTAAGTTGTAATCATGGAAAATTTGAAACTAATAACACACTCAAAGTCTTAAAATAGCTTGTAATGACAGATAATACTTTCCATTCCTGAATGAGTATAAATGAGGAATACATGCATACATGATGTGCTTTATAATCTCATGCTGTTTCCCTAATCTATCGTAACTCCAATAGCCTTAAGTAAAAGTAAGTCATGATGCTTTTTATGTTGGCATAAAAAGCTTCTCATCCAAATGAAGCATCCCTCCCTCAGATTTAACTATCAGACCAGGGTGCTGTAACTTCTAAATGATGAAAACTGTTAGTGTTTACAACAGTTAAGAACCAAAATCAATAGACACATATTAAGTTGCAACAAATGGCTAGGGTAAATTACAATTGTTGCCATATGCTGTGGAACTTGGCTCATGCTTAGAGTAAGTACTTAATTGGATCAATAAGAAAAGCTAAAGCATTACAGGTAAATTTGATAGATAATTACTTTTTACCTTGCTTTAATACTCTATAGCAAAAAAAGCAAACTAATTATTTAAAATAGTAAGCAAACCAAAAGTTGGGAGGAAATATCTCTTGTATAGATGGTTGATAAATGTTTTTAAATGTCCACACCAGAATCAGGTATTACCATGCTCTACTCATGACCAAGTGATTGAGTTCTGATCTATATATAAAAGCTTAATTGAAAGGTAGGGAGAAAGGCATTGGTGTACAATTCTAGAATCTCCTAGCAAAGCAATTTGCACACAAATCATTTGCAGTAAAAGAGATAGTGTTTTGTAGTAAATGAATTCATTTCTTCAACAAAATTAGATCTTAGACTGCACAAAGCCATTTTAACATAATAATATTGAACTTTTCAGTCTTCTATACTGACTAACATTACTCTTTTAATACTTCATGGTTATATAAATCAAAGAATTAAAGAGAAAGGAGAAAAAAAATCTCCAATAGTCCACCTGCTTTCCTAGAGCCAGGAGTATTCTCTGGCATTCGTCATTCACTACAGTGAGATTCATTAACATAGAAACATGTAATTACTTACAAATGATCGTTAACCTATTTTAACCACATATGTGCTGGCATGATGCTAAACACTACAAAAATATTATCTCATTTATCACATTAGTCTTTTGAGACAAATAAAATTATCATTCCCACTTTCTAAGTGAGAAAAGTGAGGATTACAGCAATAAAGGGACTTGCCTAAGGTAAAACAGTGTATCAATTGTACTACAGCACTCAAGCTCATCTTATTCAAAAGCATGCCCTTAACTGCTAAGCAAGGGTGATCATATCACACTGGATCTCTAGTGTTCCACTTTGGAAACTTGAAATCAGGTATTTTCAAAATTTGTTTTAATCAATGTATATCACATAGTTCTCATAGTCATTCACATGTATTTTTGGCTTATATTTGTCTCATTTATTAGAATAAAAACTGATTCTGGTCAGGAAGCATATTACTTGTATTTTTACTGACCTACTTTCTTCTACTACCCCTTGTGTTTAGTACAGAAAACATAAACTATATCCAGTGAAGGTTTTTATCTAAATTTCCAAACTTTTCAATGATGTATTGATAAGCAATAGTATCAGATGCAGCAATGACTGATGTTAGCCTAAATTAATAAAAAATATCTTATTTTCCAGAACAGATCATGTATACATGTTTTAAATCCGGACTTCTCAATAGTCTTAAAAACATTCCCTACTTTGGGATGAATATTAATTAATTAATTTTTCTTCCCTGATAATGTGACACTCAAACAAGAAACCAGTAAGTAGTTACATTATAATAAATAATGAATTGATCTTCTAAAGTTAAAAACAAAGTGTTCTCAAAATTAGGATTGCTCATTATATACACAGGATTGAGTCTTTTCTCTCCCTTTACAGTCAGAGAATTTAAGAATAAAGAGATATTGAAATCTTTGAAATTGTCTAGTCAACTCTAGCTCATAAATGTGAAGAAATTATGGCACAGAAAGGTGAATAGCTTTCACAATGCCGTATGTTATTAAATTAAGACAGTACTACATATTGTTAAATTAGGTTAAAATTGGAACCAGGACTTCAAACTAGGGTCAACTTTTCAAAGAAATCATACCCTCTACTTGAGAAGTATTATAGCAGAAAAGGCACGATTATTTCACAAATGCTCATATGGATGCTTAACCTGCAAAAAATCTTAGCATTTTTTACTCTTCTAGGAGTAGAAATGTTTCCTTTTTGGCCTTAATTAACAGCAAAGGGCTCTGGAGTGAGGATATTTGGTATACAATTCCACATTCTTAGGTACACAATTGGAAATGGATCGATAGAAGAATGAGGATATGGAGCAATAGAAAATCTCATTCATTGCTGTTAAGCATTAAAAAAGGTATAGCAAACTGGGATGATAATTTGGCAATTTCTTCCAAAACTGATCCAGCTGTTGCACTCTTTGGTATTTACCCAAAGGACTTGAAATTTTATGTCCTTACAAAAACCTGCACATAAATATCAGCTTTATTTATAATTGCCAAAGCATGGAAGCACCAAGATATCTTTCAGTAGCTGAATGGATAAATAAACTGCGGCACATCTAGACAATGGGGTACTATTCAATGCTAAAAAGAAATA